GGTTCGGTTCGTTTGGAAATTTCTTGAAAAGCTAATCCATCGGCAATCCAGCTTTTATCACATTACACTAATTTAAGATTCGACAATTCACCTTAAGTTCACTCTTTTTAACCTCAATTCGAAAGATCACCACTCACTCACAATGAGGTTTGAAAATGCAGCCGAAAGTCTCACTCTCTTTGAATCTCACAGCGAAAGAAATTTATCCATACATTATTCACTTTTATATGTCCAACCATTTCAAACATGCTCATTAATTTGGAGTCCAGTGTTTTTCTTTCCAATTTCACCTATTGCATGATAATTTATTTTCGTCAATGCTAGTAAAAAATGTAACTGTATTTCTTTTCTTTTATTAATTGTCTGCTTTAATCTAATTTGACCTGCTAACTAAACCCAATGGGTGCACTGGCGCTTCAATAAAGTTTCTCACAAGCAAATAGGTATTTAACTAATACACACCACATATATTTGATATTTTTGAATTTTTTTCGAGCTTCCTATCTATGCAAATTTGCCTTCTGTTTCTTTTCTTCACCTCCTCCTCTTTTTTTTTTTTTTTTTTTTTTTAAAAAAAAAATATTTTTTTTTTTTTTTTTTTTTAAAAAAAAAAAAAAAAAAAAAATTTTTTTTTTTTTTTTTTTTTTTAAAAGAAAAATAGTTTTTTGTTAGACAAAAACAAGCTACAAGGGTCCAAACTATCGTGGCATGGAAAAAGATGACATATTTCACTCATTTTGCCAGTACCACATAATTTAGCCCCAGTTTGGCTTCCATTAATTTTCATTTCATTACATTCAATTTTTCTCTCTCCTATTTTTTACCACACAATCTTCTATAAAATTATATTACACCTAAATCAAATTTTTTTCTTCTTTTTCAACCACTCATTTTTCAAAAAAAACACTATTTCATCCATTTTCATTTCTACGAAATGGGGCCAAACAAGGGCTTACCGTCAAAATACAAGATTCGTTGTCACATTATCTCCACCATAAAATCGTATATGGCAGTGCAGAGTAGGAATACTTTAAAAAAGAGTCAAATCAGATGCTCATTACACAACTGGGTTTTGCTACTCATCAGCTCAGTGTACAGCCCCTCTTGTGAGGGAGGGCCCGTGATTTTTATTGGATGTGGGCCCCCTATTTTGTGAGAGGACACAGCTCGATGTACAGCCAGCAAATTCCTACACAACTATATATGAACTGTAAGTCTTTTGTATAACCCAGAAACTCATGAAAAGGACTTGACCAACGAACACAACACACCAAAGACGGGTCCCATGCAGATTATTGTATGAAAAGCTGCTGAGTACACGCATATATACCAACATTCGCAGTTTTCCTCAACTATTCATTTAGCAGTTTTTTTGCTTAGAAGATGGTGGAGATCGAGCCCATTGATCTTGGCAGCAAGTATGAAATCATTCTCTGTGAGTCCACCTGCATGAGTGAAAATTGCATCAATTCCTCGAAGAACAAACTGCATTTCATGAATATATTTTAAGCAGCCACTTTTGTATGTACAACCACAGCATGCATCACAGTCGAACTAAACAAGCGCGTCAAGCGATGAACTAATTCTTGAAAGGACTTCAGGGTTGCGGTTAAAGCAAAAGAGATCCTTCGTTTCACAGTTAATCTCCAGAAACAAATGTCAAGAATGTGACAAAAAAGAGATGTTCACGGGGATGAACTTACCCACTGCATGAGTCCATATATCAATTTTTACATTGTTCCATCCCACAAGATGAAGGTCTGGATGATGACCTGCGACAAGAAATAACTATTCAGGCAGAAAACTTTGAAGTAGAATAAGGTGTCCACACCATACGATTATTCAGAACTTATTATTTGCTAGTTGCTACTTTATTGATCTATTTTATGTTTGTTTGCAAGTTAAACTTTTAATTTGTGTGGATTTTAAAGATGGTTTATGGTTTATTATGAACATATTTTTCTCATTCTTCTAAATTATTTTATTGGTTTGTCGAGTCTTATGCCTCAACTCAGAGAGCTACAATGTTGTGGTAACCGACTGAGTCCTTTTAACAGTTTTACACAACAAGTTGATTAGATACCTTCCGCCTCAGCAACATTAGCTACAAGCTGAAAAACCTCCAGTCCTTTTGTGAAACTCTTGACTTTCCATGATCGATGCAACTTCCATGTGCCAACTTCATGCACCAAATCCCACCCAGGAACCTGAATGGAAAAACACCAATCAAGAACTAGAACTTACAAAAGTGTTAAAAACTAAAAATAAAAAATAAAAAATAAAAGGGTCAAAATAGGTTTATGCCTGTGGAATTAATTGATGGGCTGCATCCTCAGTCATAGGCCTCAGGTCCTTTGAGCTGCATGGAACACACTTCTTCATAGACAAGTCTGACACAGAGATTCAACAATTATCAACATTAGCAATTAACCAATTACCGATTTGCAAATACATTTCACTTGAAAAAAATAGAATTCCACAATTGGTTGGATCAATATTCACTAATATACACACAATTTGCA